TGTGCCCAAGGCTCTCTCGACACAAAGCCTGGAATATCCTGGAATATAAATGTAAACCCTAAAGCCTAAACCCTAAACCCCTAAGCCCTAAACTCCAAACCCCTAAGCCCTCCCTAAACCCTAAATCCTAAACCCTAAAGCCTACACCCTCAGTCCGAAACTTGTTCAAAATCCTAACCGCCTAACACTTCAAACCGTGTAGCCCACTCCTTCAGTCCAAATCCCTACACCATAAACCCCGAATTCAACCGGAAACTCCCAAACCAGGAAACCTAAACCCCTGAACCCCGAAATCTCTGAAGCCCTGAACCCATGACCTGCTGAACCCCAAAGCCCCCCAACTGAATTCAAGATGCGCCCGCTCCACCGCAGAACTGCAGAAGACTGCCGTAACTACCTGTTCTAAGAAGAAGAACTTTCCCACATGCACTGCCGCTAACTACCTGTTCTAAAAGAAGAAGAACTTTCCCATATGCACTGCCGCCCGATCGACAGCGCAAGGAAGACAACTACCTGTTCTAGAAAGACAAGTTGATGAAGGCACCCGCTCCAGCAAAATGTTCAAGAGCTTGAGGGGATCAGCAGCCAAGAGGTGCAGCAGGACACTGCTGCAAACAAGACGGGCCGCATGAAGGGTCTTACAAGCTGACAAACTTGTTCACAATACGTGACGTTGGACGGAAGCAGCGCCGGCACAAAACGAATGTATACCCAAGAAACCAATCCAAATTACAGCGGAAAAAAGCAAAACCCATCAACCAGCGCAAAGCCTGGGGTTCGAAAGGCGAGAAGCACTTAAGAGTATTAAAGGATCAAAAACCCCAAGACGACCCAAAGAAGGAACATGCAATCAGGATCAAGAGCACGAAAGCGAGTGACAGTGCAGGAACAGAAAGAAGCATCAGTGATATCTTTCCTGCATGATAAACACCTCCCTGGATGAGACCTGGAGACCACGACGATCAAGAGGCTTCTTTCTGGGCCAACCTAAACCCTTTCGGAGAAGGCAATTAGGAGAAGAAGGTGGCAAGAGAACAGGACCGTGACTACATGCTGCGGATCCGGTCCTCCTTGAAGGCAAAAATGGGGCAGATAAACACAGGAACAGGGCTGTGCAATTGTGATGATGAGACCGTTGCCCATGCATCATCACATCACGTTCGGCAGGACAGACATCTGCACGTGCAGCTGTGTGATGGGACGACTCGGCAGCAAGCCTGCGGGTAGCTGCACAAAGGGCCTCGAACCCGACATGCCAACCCTGCCCCTTGTCGAAGCTTGCCGGAGTGAATGTTGAAGAACCGTACAACTTCCAGCAAACCAACAGCTGGAAGGCTCCGGCGGGCGGGATGCGAGTGGCATCGGTACCAGTGGGACTCCTCGTCCGGGGACTCTCAACTTGACAGCCGTATCGGCTGAAGAAAGAACGGCGAGATCCTGCTAAACCCGATTCAAGATCCCCTTCTGGCAAAGGCGGACCACCGCCGAAACAAGCGAAGTCCGGAGAACAAAGGTGACGTATAAAGATCTTAACTATCCAAGGACGGATCGCCAACACCCTGTGCGCAGCAGCACAGCGACGAAGTGCGGCTAGAAGCCCGTGAATGGAGGTTTTCAGAATCCATACCCAATAACTGCACAGATCGCCGTTAGTGACGCGACAAAGCATAACCGAAGATTTGAAGACGGGAGATGGGAAAGGCCCTGGTCCCTTCCACAGAACAGTGTCGTAGGGCGTATACGGTTTAGGGCAAAACGATGCAGAAACACATTACGTTCATTGTATTGCTCCTGGGAGAAGGGGTTGAGTTACATAAGGGCGGGGGCCGGTTAAGGCGGGGGCCGCACCTGACTGGATTTTCACCCACCCTGACGTGCCAGGAATTCTTCTTGTCCCTGCCTTCGTCCGTGCTATCACGGAAGACGAGAACAAAAGGTTTCCGAAAGTCACTGTTCTGGCGCGCAGACGAAAGCTCAGGGTTTGGGGTTGCGGGTTTACCCTAAACTGGTAGGCCTCAAGGTTCGGGTGCCTCGGATTTTGGTACGGCTTGGGCTTTAGTCGTCGGTAGGCACCGAAAGCTTCGAAACCCTGACGCCCTGAACCCTGAATCGAGATTAGGATTGGGACTAGGATGGCTTAAGCTTCCCAACTTCAATCGAAAACCAGTCGAGCGACGTTCATCAGGGCGAAGTATACCAGACAGAAGTAGAGGCCAAACATCACCTGAATGGCGTCTGAGAAGAGCTAGCAGTATACGGGAATCGGAGCATTTAGGTTTCTCAGAGCTCAGGTCAAGGGTTAGCTACTTAACATTTAAACTTGCCCTAACAGCCGTGTATAGGGGCCTTAAGAATTAGAATATGGTTATGGGGCCCATTATACTATGATTATAACCAGGAACACCCCAAAATGGTACAGGTAATTCTTAAAGCCCCTGCAGTAAACCCTAAAGCAGCCTTTACCAAGATCCACTGCAAGTGGAGCTTTCTGGGCACCCTACAGTAAACCCCATCTAGGATACCCAGTAACCTTAAGAATAAAAAGGCCTCTCTTTTTGGCATTGGGTAACTTTATAAGGAACCTAGGACTAGAAAAAGGGAATAAGGGTACTACTGGGCATCCTAGCCATAAAGTTGGAAACCGGATGAAGGGCAAATAGTGCTGGGATTCCCTAAACGTTACTCTTAAGGATTGAGGCTATTGGGTTTCTAACTTTTGGGCTTCAACTGTATACTGCAAGCATGGCCAACGAGTGTGCAGGTGCAGGTCGCTTGTCCTGCGGCTTGCAACCTTCCTGAGATGCCCAAAAAACCCACAACTACCCACCTGCCCTCAGGCTCGGAGGACTTAAAGTTGTCATTTTCAAGGTTCAGGGTTTCGAAACTGTTAGGTCGAAGCTTGAAGTTTCGAGGAATTCTGCCAAGCTTCAACCCAGATCCAGTGGATTTCCGACAAGCTTCGCTCGACGTCAGACCACGCCAGACCGCCTGCGTGCACACGCACTGGCACACGATGCCGTTTCCCGAAATATGACTACTGCAGGGGCCTTGATAGTTACACTAGGGTTTTGGGGCCCAGTATACTATGATCTAGAATAATGATCCCCCTAAATTGTAAAAAGTCTTGGCAACTAGTTAGGCCCGTATAGTATTGGAGCTGTATCGGTCTTATTGACGTGTTGTGAGCAGCAGGAGCATGCAAGATTTGGGTAGTTGTCAAAATTAGGGCCCCTTTTTGGGTCCCTACTATAATACGGCACCTAATAATATTCAGGGTCCCCAAAAAGGGACCCTAATTTTGACAACCACCCATTTACAGCCTAGGGCTGAGGTAAAGCAAAAACAAACGCCGACCATCTCCAAGGGTACAAGGAGGGACCCTTAATAAGGACCCCTGGGTATATACCTTTAATATAGCCAGTATATACCCATTATATAGCCCATTAGGGTAGGGGTCCCATTAAGGGTCCCTCCTTTCCCCTTTGACCATCAGTTAGAATGAAAGCCAAGCCTAGGCCCTGAACCCCACACCCGAAACCCTTAACCCTAAATCCCAAGCCCTTAGGCCACAAACCCTAAAACCCAAACCCCAAACCCTAAACTCTGAAAACCCACTTGTCCAGTATTCTGGGGAACTACAGCTTCACCTTTGGGCATATCTTGGGGCTATATAGAATATAGGGATTATAGTACCCCAAAAAGGCTGAAGGTTAATTACCTGCCTTACTACTATAGGGAAACCTACACCGAAGCTAGGCCCTAAACTCTTTTTCCATCTCTTAAGAGCCCCACCGGCCTGTGCAGGCTTGCATCAATGTCAGTGCAGTCCGCCTTGGCACATATTTCTTCAGGCCCCATGCTGCTGCAGTCATACGGGGGGCCTCAAGGGCTGGAACAAGGGTTTGCAGCTACATTATACATATCTAGCTATCATGGGGACGAAGATGAATTAAATACCATTGGTATCCGTTAGTCTTCTGCCGAAGCCTGCCTAATATACCTTGAATCAGTGTTCCGGCCGTAACAAGGATATGTTGGCCCCAAAAGGCCATCAGAATCTTCAGGCATGTAGCATTGCCTGGGCCACAGACTGTTGCTTGCGGGCTGAAGGCTTCGGGACATCGTTCATACTGTGTTTTTAATCATCGTTACCCACTATCCTTGTAGTTACTGTCATTCGTATATCTATTGCTACTTTTCCGCTTGAGGATTCAAGGAGTTTAGAGTTTAGAGTTCAGGGTCAGGACACAACAGCACTGAAATCTCACGGTTCTTATAGAACGAATCTGTAAGGAAACCGGCAACGACAGGCAAAGGCTACTCCTTCTCACCTCGATTCTTCATATACAAGCATCAAGGCAAAGCGGCAACGATAGAACTATGAATTCAGAACATACAAACATACATACGTACGTACCTACGTACAGACAGACAGACAAACAGACAGACAGACGTACCTACGTACATACATACATACATACATAAGTAGACAGACTTCCAGGAAGCCTAACCCTAAATTCGAAATTATCCCCCGGATGTTTCTATCAGATGGAGGCAAGCGATGATGTGTGGGAACTTTGTACCTATGCAGCCACGGGAGCAAACCTTTGGTATCCGGTTTCGTGCCTAACATAGGGGGCCAAATAATTAGCATTAGTATTCTGAGGGTTAGATTAGTATAGCAAGAGACTAATGACTAGAGTAGAATAGGCCCCGAAACCCTCTTCTACTTCTTAAAGCCCTTGTATTAATGCTGTTATGTGGCAAAGGGTCTAGGAACTCTCCAGGGAGCGTTCAAAGATTCGGCGCTTCAGGATTTAATGTTCGCTGGTTGTTTCAGTAAGTGTGTGTGTGTGTGTGACTCGCTGATGTTGAGGGCGCACAATTTGCAACCAGCAAAGCCCGAAATCTCAGCCTCACGTATACTCACAGTGGAAAACCCAACTTCCACAAAGAAAAAACCCTCAGCTTTCATCGAACAACACAAAGTACACCCTACTTTAGCCACAGTTTACCACTGAAGTCAGCCAAGAGGACAGGATTGATGGAAAGAACAATCCAAACGTCTCGGAGATGTCGTCTTGGGATTGCGATCCGGTGTAGTCATTGACGGCCTCAAGTTTGGGAGCATCCTCTGAGCAGGATCATCTGATAATACAGATATCCCCTTAAACATCATCCCGAACCCCAAATCAATACGACGGTTTGAAGGCCCAACCCTCAAAGCAGCCACGAATCGTAAACCCGAACCCGTGCATTCCAAACAGAACACGAAACTCGGCCCACACAACCCCAAACCCTAAATCTTTAACAGAAACAACGAAGGAGCACACGGTAAACCCGACAAAAACCATACACCTTCAACCAAGAAGCAAAGCAAAACAAAACACAAACTAAACTCCAAGGTAAAAGGAGGGACCCTTAATAAGGACCCTAGGTATATATCCTTACTATAGCCATTACATACCCATTATATAGCCTCATTATAGGGTAGGGTTCCTCATTAAGGGTCCCTCCTTTTCCCCTTTGATAAACCCTAAACCCTAAACCCCTAAACCCTAGACCCTAAACCGCACAAGCCTAGCATGTGCGAAAACTGAGGATCCGATCTGCGGACTTCTTATTGCGACTGTCGGACCCCTACTACCCGGAGGGGGGCCGGGGACTTAGTAAGGGTTCCTTAAAGGGCTCTATAGAGTTCCTTAAAGGGGTCTATCGGGTTTAGGGTTTAGGGTCTACTTGGAGGGGGCCGGGGACTTAGTAAGTTAGGTTATAAGTACGTTAATTGGGGTTAGAAGACAAAGGTAAGTGTGCTTACCGTAATTATAGCCAATTATAGCCCTAGTTACTAAGTCCCAAGATCCTTCAAGTACTACTTGGAGGGGCCGGCGACTTATAAGGCTTCTTCAAGAGCTCCTCAAAGGGATCTATAGGGTTCCTTAGGCCTTAAGGGGATCTATGGAATCTATGGGGGTTAGAGTTTAGGGTCTACTTGGAGGGGCAGGGGACTTAGTAAGCCGTTTTTAGTGGGATTTTTCATTCGGGTAACTCCATGTAGGGTACTTATGACTCTACATATAACCTACTTAGTAAGTCCCCTGCCGCTCCAAGTCGCATCCTACCGTTGACGCTCTTAGTTGTAGGCTAACCCTTACTCCTAGGATGTTTTTTCGGATCCTACACCCTCCAAGCAGGGGCTCCGTCTCGGTGGAGCTTTGAGTTTGGGGTCTCGGGCCCTTGTTGAAGCGTCCTTATATTCAGGATCCTATGCCTGTACAAGTATATATCATAGCACCATTATAGTATACCCTAAAACTGGCCCAAAACCCTGTTCGAATTGCTATGGTATCTTATAACCCTATGACAGTATACCGCATAACCCCCAAACTGGCCCAATTCTAATTGCAGAATCCCGAATCTGGGCTCTCCGAAATCTTTGCGAGTTTGGAAAAGATCGCCTCGCCCAGGAACCAAGACCCAAAACCACTCAAACTCAAGGCCAAGCCTCTTATGCGTGTACCCGTCAGTGAAGCCCCCTATCCCCTCTGAGATCATTCTCAAGTCCGACCTAGCCAACAAAACCCCTTGTTCACCTCTACTGCGTTTGGTTCTTGTTCCACAGCGCACCTGCTGGAACACAATGGCGAAACAGTAGATGACAATGAGCCTCGTGTGCGCAGGAGGGAAATCCAAGGGTAAACCCGAAACCCTGATTCACCTGAGCCCGATACTCCGAGCAGGCGTTTGAGGGAGCCCAAAACAGTGTCCAAGCACGAATGGTACGAGGTACGTAATCGCCCATACGACGGGGTAAGTTTCAATAGTGTATGCTCGGGTGCATTATGGGGCATCAAAATTTCGAACGAGCGCAGGACTTGGTACTGCTGCAGGGGTCGCGACTGTACCATAGATGCATTAGACACAGGAGCTCGATAAGAATCAGGGTTTGGTTCGGGAACACAGCGTCACTACAGGTGGAACTCGTTGCTGAAAGAAAGCCCTAGTTGCTCACTTCGGAAGCATTTCGTCGGTTGCTGTGTCTCTAATCCCCAACCTAAACTCGAACACTACATTGGGCATCGAATCCTCAAAAAATCGACCCCGAATCCGCAACCTCTAAACTTCCGCAGAACCTAAGCCGCAAATGCATCAATGCACAACAATCTTAAACGTAAACCGCTGAAAGGCTGATGATGCGCGATCACCAGGCACCAGTCCCACACCCTGAGCATCCGGAAACCCTGAACCAAGGAACATCTCCGAGCCTCATATAAGAGCCTCAACAGTTAATGAAGTATAATGTGCTGAAACATACTCTGACTATACAGGCACGAAAGGAGCGTACTATTCCTGATTATTCCGACCCAGCCAAAAGATACTAGGCTGAAACCCACTATGACAATACAGGCACGAAAGAAGGACATTATTCCTGAACCTAAACCCCCAACCCTGGCTATTCCGACCCCTTCTAAAGGGCCGAACTCCGTGTTTAGAGCCTCAAAGTTCAGGGTATCAAAGCATCGACTGGGGTTTGGGGTTTAGGGTTTAGGGTTGGGGGATTTCAAGGTTTTGGGTTTGGGGGTTTGGGGGTTTGGGGTTTAGGGTTTAGGGTTGGGGGATTTCAGGGTTTTGGGTTTGGGGATTTATGGTTTGGGGTTTAAGGTTTAGGGTTTAGGGTTGGAGGATTTCAGGGTTTTGGGTTTGGGGGTTTGGGGTTTGAGGTTCATGATTTGGAGTCTAGGTTGTGCCAGGGCTGTGAATCCATCGATGGTCCTAAACACCGTAGCTGGACAGGGTGGACAGTGCTAAACAAAGCCTGGCCGCAACATAGCTATCGCCCAGAAAAGCGAGCGAGTGGTAGCCAGCATGGAATGGTAGATCATCCGCAAGGCCTCGAGCCAAGACTCTAAAGGAACCCCAAAATAGTATAGGTAATTATTTTGGCTTCTACAGTTAAACCACATGAGCATATTATCTAAAGCCCAGAAAACCACAAGCTACACACGTCACTCTGCGAACCTCCAACTTCGGCACGACCTATATGGGTAGTTGTCAAAATTAGGGTCCATTTTGTGGGTCCTTATTATAGTACGGCACCTATTATTTAGGGTACCCAAAAAAGGGACCATAATGCCCATATAGCCCTTCGACCCAAACACCCCAACTCCTGAACCCTGAATCCATGAAGCCCTTTGACTTCGACCATGAAATCTGGGAGTTTCCGAAATTGGGGGACCCTATTCTACCCTAAATAGTAGGATCCTTATTATATGGACCCCAAAGTAAAGTACCCCTAATATTCGGAAACTCCCAGCTGTCGTAGGGGGTTTAAGAACAAGCATACGGTTCTGGGAAGTACAGTTATACTTGAATCCCTGACCCCTGTGGCAGAAGCCACAATGTTGGAGACCCAATAGCCTCAATCCTTAACATTGGTGTATAGGGAATCCCAGTCCTGTTTGTCCTTAATCCAGCTGCCAACTTTATGGGACTTACTATAAACTTAGTTGCTGAGATCATAAGCCCCAAAACGTGTACACTTTTAGATTTATAGTGGGTGATATTATCCCAAAAAGTGTAAAGTGTATCCACTCAGCTACTAAATAAACCCGAGGCAACCAAGGACACTGGGCCCCCCCGCAGGAACTTGGTGCAGAACTCGGTGGATGCGCAAGAGCCGCGCGGCCCGACCGATACGGACGACGACCAAGAAGCCGGCTTCTCCTGGTCTGGTACAGGGCCGTATTCCTTAAGGACCAAATACATTCCTGCAGTGGGAATCCCTACATATGGTATAGGAACTTTTAAACCATTTTAGGTTCATGTCGATTTTAAGGCCTCGGTAGGGTCCGGGGGCATGTCAGAGTCTGAATACAAGAACGCCTCTGTGCAAGGAAATCAATTCGGTCCGGTTCTGCTTTTGTTTCTACAGGAGGTTTTGGGGCCAAGGGTCTTGGGCAACAGGGGCTTAGAGTTTTAGGCTTTGGGATTTCAGGGTCAGGGCTTGAGGGCTAGGTACTGCCATAGCAACCTTTCAAAATCGCGGGCTACCCTACCCTACACTACCCTACCCTCCCCCACCCTACCTCAGTTGTGCTGTCACACTGTCCCCGCTGGACAACGGCAGCGCACCTGAAATCCGGAAGCCCTAAGCTCTGAACCCCAAAGCCCTGAAGCCCTAAACCTCCAAGGGTCTACCCTGAACCCTACAATACCTGTATGCGATTCAGCCCTATGAAACCCTGTAAATCCCTACGGCCCTACGGTTGATGATATAAATCCTGCATTACCTTAAAGACCCTGAACTATGGGAATAATGGTATATTCCTTATTATGGGTAATGCAGGATGTATATCATCAACCGTATAACCCCTATAAGCCCTACAAAACCCATAAGCCCCGGTAGGCCCAAAGACCACAAGAGCAAATCTTCCTGCGAGACCGGCGCAGTCGACGATAAACTCGATGAGGCCTGCTTCATGGGTTCTAGGAGTTTAGGGTTTACAGGGGTTTAGGGTGAATAGGGGGTTTAGGGTTCAGGCTTTTAGGGTTCAGGGGGTGCTTCTGGGTTCTTGGAGCAGGGGGTTTAGGGTTTTAGGGTTTAGGGGGTTCTTGGAGCTTAAGGCTTATAGGGGGTTTAGGGTTTTACGGTTTAGGAGGTGCTTCTGGGTTCTTGGAGTTTTAGGTTTAGAGGGGGTTTAGGGTTGAGGGTTTTAGGGTTTAGAGTGCTTCTGGGTTCTTGGAGTTTAAGGTTTATATGGTTCAGAGCTTGGGGTTATAGAGTCTAGGGTTTAGGGTTAGGGCTACAGGGTTACTAGGGCCTCCAGCCCAAGCCCCTCACTGAAAAGCCCAAATCCGAAAGCTTAAACTTGAAATCCCTTGGGCTGGTGTCCAAAGCCTAAGACGATGAAGCCCTAGACCCTCAAACCTGAACCCTGCAGCCTGCAGGGTTTTGGAATCTTTTTTGCGAGCTGAGGCTTGACGAGTTGTACGGTACGGGTTCCCTTTGAGGCTTTAGTATATACTATATGAGCACATGGAGCCTTAAGGCACTGGCCAACAACCATCCTGGTTCCTCCTACCCGACTTCGTGCATAGAACCTCTGTAAACACCTCCATGGAGCCCTCCTTTATGAACCTTTTTGGAGCCCTTGTGGAACCCACTTGCAGAACCCAAGAAACCAACACTTCTAGGCGGAGGGCCTCGGATGAACGAATCTTCATCAGATCTCTCGTGTGACAGGACTGGGGGTGCTTTGTTTGATGCGTTGTCTCCCTGAAATTGGTTTTGTTGGTTTAGGGTTAGGCCCAGAAAGTTGGAACATGGATCAGGAATCAGTAGTCCCCTGCAGGAAGATGTTCCAACTCTCTGGCTTGACCGCTATTTCTCGTTCATGTTGCAGGTTTGTTGTAACTCTCGGGCGATTGCAAACTGCCCTTGAAACTCGATCTTCCATTAACAAACGAAGCAACAGGGCTTTGGGCTACTTGTTCTATACTCAAAAATAATAGTACGGGCCTAAACCTCTCCTGAACCCTAAACCCATACAAGGCGTCGAAGGGCCGGCCTGCCGCGACCATGATAACCTCCAGGATGTGCCAGCCAATGTCGTCGCCAGAGGGGTTGAAGAATTCTTTCCCTTGGGCCTGAGTTAAACGGCCCCCGACACCTACAGTAGCTACGGCTTGTTTTAAGTTTAGGCTTGTGGAGTTTATGTTGAGATCTCCCGGACTTAGGTTCCTGGATTTGGACAAGGATTTAGTTTAGCGTTTGCGTGAGCACAGGGAATGGGCAACATGTTTACTGCTTACTTGTTGAGAGCTCTGTGGTTCAGAGCATTTGGCGTGGAAGGTTCAGGTACTTTGAGGTTTAGGCTTTAGGGACTAGGCTTTCAGTCTTGCCGCTCGTCTTTCCCGATCCAAGTGCAATAGAGACTTAGGATGTAGCGCTGTTGGTTTACGGTGCGTGGTTTCGCTTTTCTTCAACAACCAGCGCCGAACAAAACAGAGCTTTCCCATACAAGGGCCCCCGAAACCCTAAACCCCAAAAAAGCCCAAACCAGAAAAAAGGCCAGTAAAATTACAAGAAGGAGCCCTTTGGGTTCCTGTCGGTAGGTATTCCAACCTCTATATGCTCCACTCCTGAACGCTACATCCCTAAGCTCTAATGCCCTGAACGTAAGTGCCTACACCCCCAAGCCCGGAACTGATGTTATGCGGACAGAAAGGGGGGTTTAGGGTTTAGGCTTTAGGGTTTAGGGTTTAGGGGCGATTATGACACCCTCTACAACGACATTCCCCCCCCTCATATACACCCCTAACCCCTAGAGAAAGTTGTACAGCCCGATAGAGCTAAATTCAACCCGGCACAACCCTAGGCTCCGAGCGCCAAGCCCGACAATCTAAAACCTCCAACCCTATAAAGTAGGTGAAATAATCGGCCAACTCCTATAAAAGGCTACTATTCTACAGACTCTTGGTGTCCAGGTAGAGCTTTACAAGCTAAACCGCCCCAAAGCCACACCATCGGAAAGAGCCAAGCTGCCGTAATTCGAGCTGCGATCTCCAACAGGAACACGAACCTGCCAAGTAGCAAGCATCGGCAGAGCGATATTTCTGGTGATAATGACAACACTTCAAAAAATGGTCTTCACTATTAAGAGTACTAAGACTGAAAACTATTAAATATTCGCAATCGTGTTTTTGTTAACAATACTTCTCATGCAGATATTGGCAATGTTTGCAATGTATTGAACAGCTTACGAGTGTTCACGCTGTAAGAAAGAGTAGGGATGTCAGCTTTATAAACACTAGCCGTAGTATTGGCAGTGTAGATAGTATCAACAGCGTTAACCGTATTTGTCCGCCGAAACAATTATCGTACCTCAATACTGGAAGACAGGGACTGATTAATGCTAGTCTTGATACGTTTAACAACAACGTGAAGAATAAGGCAGAAAAAACATCTTTATCATGATGCTGAGGACAACAATGTGAATACCAAACGATAGGAATAGGAGAACGCATCGTTATAGTAAGAACAGTGATACCAGCAACAACGATGCTATTAACAGTAGTAATATGTATGATAATGGGCCCACTATTGATAGCAGTGCCAACGTGATCGTATATCAGAACCTGTGACGGCTCGTGCAAGAATAGCAAAGGCTATGCCAGTAATCATGGTAGCAATGGAGTAGAAGGTGACAACGATTTCTAGAGCTACGCTTATCAGAAAGATGACAAGTACTAAAACTTAGAAGAAGAACGACAGTATAAAGTATGATAGCAATCGTCACTAGCTTTTCGCCCTTTACCGGCTGTTGCAAAGGTTTCACGAGGATGGAAGAGTATTAGAGGGGTTTGCAAGTGTTTTCCGGGTGCTTGTTAAGGGACTCAACTGATGATAAGGAACACATATGTTCAATACATGTACCTAGTGTCTAAATCGTAAAATCCCAAGACCCCTTCAATGAGGAGTGACATGTGGTTTGAACAAGGCTTTACATACCCCTTTTCTGCGAATACACCGCCAACTATGCAAGGATGCTTCATCTCACCTATCCACTACCCACAGCATGAACAAATTTCCAACTTTCCAGATTCCAGTATAGTGTTGGAGCATTGGGACATATCCATTTCATGACTAGCTGCAGCCCACGATGCCGACTTTTTCGAGGGGCCAAGTGACTTACACGCATGTATCGCTTCATAATGGACCGGAATAATTGGAACTAGTACCCGCGGTTAGTCCCTAAAGATAGATATGACAATGTACACCACAACTCGGCTCTAATTGTTAATGTATGCATATGGGGGAGAGAGAGAGAGAGAGAGAGAGAGAGAGAGAGATCTAGCCCAAACGCATAATACATGTAAATGGCCGTACCTGTACATACACAAGGAACATAACGTAGGAGGACGAGGACCGAGTTACTGCATAGTGTGCAAGGGCGTCTCCAGCATGAGAAAGCCCTACATCCAACACACAGGGAACATGTGAGTGCTTGTCAAAATTAAGGTCCCTTTTTGGGTCCTTAATACTATACGGCACCTAATATTTAGGCTACCCAAAAAGGGGCCATAATTTTGACAACTACCCATGTGCTGGTTGCTCTCAAAATAAGCCGTTTGGCCTGGTCTCTCCTTATAAGTAGGGGTACTATTCCCAGTGGTCCTCCCTTAGAAGCACCTTCGCACTAGCCTCATTCCTCGCCCCTAAGTGGCCTACCGAAGCCCATGACCACACAGCCACAAGGCCCAACGCCTTTACACCCGAATCAACAAAGAGCTGAAGCCTTAGACCCCCAAAGCCTGAACCCTCAGACCCCTAGGCCCTAGACCCTAAACAGGAAACCCCAAAGCCATAAGCCCTCAAACCCCTAAACCCTGAAACCCAAACCCTAAGCCCCAAGCCTTGAACTCTCAAACCAAATCCTTAGGGTTTAGGGTTTAGGGGTTTAGGGTTTAGGGTTTGGGGTTTGGGGTTTGGGGTTTAGGGTTTAGGGTTTAGGGTCCTGAACCTCAAAATCTTAACCCTGAAGCCTAACCCTGAAACCCAAAAGCTACACCCCAAACAGCAATCTTCGAAGCCCTATCATTGAATCATTAAGCCCTTAAACAAACACAAACTCAACAAATTCAAACCCTCAAACAATTGGGATCAACATAGCCTAAAAGCATTATATAGTATGGTCTTTGGGCCCAAAAGCCTTAATATATGAGTCCTTGGATAAGAAAACCCCTACTAGCCGACCCTTGGGTGCAGCTCCGGCGCGTGGTCAGATGCTTGAAGAAGACCAAGGCAAAGTGCATGTCGGCTCCAGTCTCTACTCCGCGATCCACCTGGGTGTTTAGGGTTAGTTTAGGGTGAAGCATCCACCTGGGTGGTTGTCAAAATTAGGTCCCTGTTTGGGTACCCTTAATACGGGCCGTATTGTTTAAAGGACCCCAAAAGGGACCCTAATTTTGACAACAGCCCACCTGAAGGTGCTAGGCTTCCAGTACTCTTTTTGTTGAGGAAGGGCGATAGGGCTTAGTGAATTTAGGAGTTTGGGGTTTTCAGGGTCTCAGGGTGTACCTGAACGCCCGAAGTTGACTTGAAAATAGATTCTTGAGTTGATGCAATGCCCATTGCTGAATTCACTTCAGCTAGGATTGCCGATGAAGCGATATCCACGACGCTGAGCACTCGTGGTTTGGCCTCCTGATTCGCTCCCAGGAGGAGGCTGCACCACCCGACCCCCCTTCCCTTTCGGGGGGGGGGGGGGGTGGTTCCGCTTCGGAAGAGCAGTTGGTCTGCAGAGACGCCTTCCGAAGTGGACGTGGAGCCTTGTTCTTCGTCCAACTCTTCCGAGGTGGAGTTCGAATTCTCGGATGTCGCGGACAGCACTGCGATGCCACTTTCTGCTCAGCGCCAAGCGGCACGGTCTGGAAGGGCGGCTGCTTGCCACACAGCTTCCGCTTCATTATGTAAAAGCCGAATGCTGTTTGGTGTTGTTGTTGCAACCATCGCTGCGCCACAATCGGGTCGACTTCCTCTGCTGAAGCCCCTGAAATGGCTAAACCTCATACTAACCGAGGTTTTGATAGTAACCAAAACAATCCTAATTCTAAAAGGATGATACTACGTATTGCCTAGCTTATACTACATCCATAACCCCCGTCAACTACGGGCTCCGCAAATGGACGCATGACCAAAACACCTCCTTTACAGAAATCGCTAGTCCTGACAGAAGACAGCTTCGACACCTCTGTGAACGATTTTCCCCAAGAAGCCCGTGGGGGGGACCCCGAGGGCTTCGGGATGTTGGCCGTGGTTTCGCTGGACCTTGAGTGGTTTATGCTTGAACCTTAATTTATACATCAATGAAACTAATACTCAGACTAATATTTGAGCCCTCAGCCATAGTAATGATAATTGAAGCTTTAAGCTCTATTAACCCTATGTACCCTAAACATTGAGCCCTTAACGACAGCCTGTAGATCCGAAAGCCCTAAATCCTGAATCCCCGAACCTTAGGGGTACTCAGAAATATTTCTTAATTTTTGGTTATTATAATCCCTAAGAAACAGCTCAAATTATAATTTTCGCTAGGGTTCGAAGTTCATTATAGGAACTTTTACAAGATTTACATCCCAAGTTTGAACAGCCCTCGACCACAAATCACACCACACCCCTGCCTTCGGGGTTGAGCTTTTTACACGGTGAAAGACTTCATGTAGGGTCAAGGGAATCCTAAACCATCCCAAACCCTAATACCTGGAACCACCAAATGTCTGGCTTTCGTGCTTGTTTCCTCGCCTCCCAACCGACGAGGACGGCCGAGAGAACCGTGAACATGAGCGTGCCTCAGGTTCTGGCGTAGGGGATTGGGGCTTTTCTATGCAAATGTCAACCAGTACTCGAATGCGTATTTATTGTCCCCGTAAGACGCTTAGGCCCCTATATGGCATTACATCATCGGGCTTGGCGTTTTGGGGGTTGAAGTCTTATAAGCTTTTCTCTTCAGAGGCTTGGTGGGTAGATGGAGTTGCAGCAGCTGCGGGGTTCAGGTTTGGGTAGTTGTTGCAAGCTGGGTCGCCGCCCTGGCAAAGCTTTTATGAGAACAAGCAGCCCGTGATGAGGACATTGCAGTGGCCTCAACCCGAACACCGATGCCACAGACATGGGATTAAGGGATTCGACCGCACGCCGCCCCCCTAGGACTAAAGCTGAAGTCGATGCCTATGCCCGTCGAGGGTTTAGGGTTTCAGGTTGAGGCCTGGCCAGGCCAGGGCACACCACTCCAGCCACGCCGAGTGCACCGCCACAGTGACGGTGGCAATAATCTTCTCACGCGAGCCAAACCTCAAGGCGTGGGACTCCTGGGGTCTTAGGGTGTAGGTCTGGCTTGGTTTTTGGTCTTAGGGTTTAGGTTCTGCTTGGTCTTTGGTGTAGGGCTTAGGTTTCGTTTGGTCTTTGGTTTAGTAGGTTTTGAGGTTTAGGATGTGAGGTCGAAGGCTTCAGGGTGGCCTTTTGTGGATTGTTGCCCGTCTCCAAGCGAGTGGGTTCTGTGGCTTAGGGGATGTTTGAAACTACTACATGGACCTTAACAACTCGAATAGGGTTTTTTGGGGCCCATCATGTTATAACTACAAAAAAGAACCCAAAAAACAGTTTTGGTAATGACTTAGACCCCTATGGAGGTCGGGATTCAAGGATCAGACTTCGGAAATTCCAGGCAGGGGGAGCCACTTTAAGCTCTACGTTGCAGCCCAGAGATTCCATATACACTACCATTGTGGAATTAGGTACCAAAATCAAAAGACCATCCCTATTTTGGTTTTGGGGTGCTTATTGCACAATGGTACTGTATATGGACCCTCTGGGCAGGTTTGGTCTTCAGCAATGCGAGAAGGAATTCATGCTGCCGCTTTGCCTCCGCCTGCAGTCCTGGCTCCAGTTCAGTTCTTGCAAGATTGAAGGCTCGTCGTTATGCCGCCCTTGACCCAAGACCCGAAATCCGATGCCCTAAGCCTGAAACCCTCAACCGAACACTGCCGAACACCTCCTTTCGCTATCGTCCCACGGCCACATGCAAAACTCAGAGGTTCTGCCTCAGTTTTCAATGATTCCTCAAGACCGACAGCAACCCGACATCATCACACGTGGGGACGAGGTGTGTTGATCACATGCCCTGAGCCCTATAGACTCTGAAGCCTGATCCCTAATCCCTCAACCCAAAACTCTCTACCCTCAACCCCTAAACCCTAAATGCCCTAGTAAAGCCCGAAAGCTCGGCCAGGCAGCGTCCCCTTCTTCCCATACCTCTCGCCCATCTGATTTTGTCTCAGCTGGGAAAATGCCTGTCCAAAGTTCCGATCTTGCTTAGGTTCTTGATTGTAGGGCGTAAGTAGGTTCAGGGTTTCAGGGTTTAGGGGTTCAAGGGCCTACTTACCGGCGCCCTCGCCGTTGATTTGGAGAACTTGTTCGTCTTCCGGCACACCATGCATGTTGAGAACGGCACTGAAAGCCTTGACTGTCGTTTTGGAAGCGTCGTTGCAAACCAAGGGGATGGCAATTACGTCATCTCGGTTCACCTTCTCGCCTTTGGATGCGACCTTCGTTGCGCTCTGCTTTTCCTTGAGCAACTTCACAAAGTGCTCCACCACCTTCAAATCCCCGGCGATGATGGCGGACATGTCCGTGTTATCATCTTCGGTTGTTGAGCCTGCTGTGGCGTCATCTTGGAGGGGAAAGGACTTACGGCATACTGCTACCTTAGAGCCCAAGTACCCTCTACGATACCGTACTTCGAAGATGTCAAGCATGGGACTTTGGCAACTCATCTCAAAGGGTGTCGGAGCAAATTGTGGTGCGGGGTCTTGTGACTCATCCTTCGCCAACTAACAGGTCGCGAAACCCTAGACTCTAGACCACTATACGATTTTGGCTACGGGAACTATACTAATACATGCATCATGTAGCCAAAATAAACGTTCGCATGACTTAACCTTGCTTGCTAAGTGGCACGATGCTCCGAACGCCCTGAAACTCTCAGCCCACGTCGGCCCACGGGCGATGTAGTCTTCTACACAGCAAAAACCTTCAAATTCGAGTCTAGGGTTTGGGGTAGAGTAGAGCGGCCTGAACATTTCTAAAAGGGTTTTGGGGTATTCTACTTTAACTCTCAGGGAGCGTTCAGGGTTTATAGGGTTTAGGATGAGGGCCCTGCAAATCCTTCGGGTCACAACCTAAGTCTGAATCTAAAAAATCCCTCAGCCCTAAAGAGAATCAAAGAGAATTCTCAAATCCCCACCCGAAAAAAGAGTCCTTCGTCCGATAACCCGCAAGCTCCCTACAATATCAACTTCACTGAACTTAGACCCTTAGCAAACACCAGAATATGAGCTGTTTCTTAGGGATTTTTGGATCCCCAAAATAACAAGCTACGATTGATGATAGAAATCCGGCATTACCTTAAGGACCCTATAGTATGGGAGTTGTGGTACAGTCCATATTATGGGTAATGCAGGAACTAATACCATCAACAGTATTTCTATTTTCCCCTTAAGTTATCAGGTTCTAAGGCCCCTTAACAAATAACGGAATTTGAACCAGCAACTGAGTTGTCCTTTAAGCCCTTTGAGATTTATTTACTATTATGGTTCTCTACAAAAAGTAGGGAAAACTGAAAAAAAAGATCCCAAAGGACAACCCAGACACCTTGCAAAGAAGGTCTATTTATCCCGAAGAAGCTAGGATACCCAGTAACCTAAGAATAAAAAGGCCTCTCTTTTTTGGTATTGGGTAACTTTATAAGGAACCTAGGACTACAAAAAGGGAATAAGGGTACTACTGGGCATCCTAAGAAGCATCTTGGCCTCTTCGCGCTCCACGGAGCAGCGAATGGTCTTGATCTGGGCGACCTGGGCCCCCCCCGCGCACACGAATTGTTCAGTATTAGGGTTTAGGGTTTATAGGGTTTAAGGTTCAGGGTTTAGGGTATAGAGTATAGGGTTTAGGGTTTAGGCTTTTTGTCTAGAACTCCGTTTTTCCGTCCGGAAGGCCTACACAAGGGTGTAAGGTTCATGGTTTAGGGTGTAGGGGTTCCTAGGAATTTGGTGGGGGGTTTGGAGAGAGCTTCGAGTCCAAAAGTCCCTCGTGCAAGGCTTGATTAATTAGGAGTTTACGGGTCGCAGTATAGGATTGAAGGGTTCTGCAGTTTTGGGCTTGGGGTTTTAGAAGCCAACCTCTGCTGCCACTGCAGGGTCTTCCCTTGCGACTTCTTCGCCTTTGTAACAAATCCCGCTTGGATGGGCCTGCTCCTGTGCACCTGCAGGGCTTGCAAGCCGGTTCATACCAACAAGCTGCAAGGAAAGAAAGACGTCAGCTGAGCCAAGTGTGGTCAAGAAATGCATGGTCATGAAGCCTGCGTCTAGCACGACCCCACATAATTCGATGGGCAGGCACCTTCCGCAACTCAAACCAAGACATAAACTCTAATACAGGGTTTAGGGTTTAGGGGTCTGAAGGTGTCTAGGGTTCAGGTTTTGGGTTTAGGGGTTTGGAATTAGGGCTTTGGGTGTAGGGCGTTATGCGTTTAGGGCTTTGGGTGCGGGGTTTTGGGTTCAGGGTTTTGGGTTCAGGGTTGTGGGTTATTGGGTTTAACCAGGAGTACACTGGGTAACCAGACTGGAAGCATCATGTGATTTCGAAATGTGTGGATATGACCCCTGATAGTATAAGGGTTAATTAGCGTGATCGGCACCCTGTGTTCTATAGTCTTTCGTTATGAATACCCTGACAGGAAAGGGGCTATCTTGATCAGAACCGGGCTATCTTGATCAGAACCCGTTTTCTACTTGTAGGGGTTATCATAATCAGAACCCCAAATTCTACAGTCATATATGTAAGTTACAACTTAGAACCAACTTGGTAATATTCGTACCCTGATAGAGGGTATCTTACTCAGAACCCTAGATTCTATTGTTATAACCTCTAGCCTACTTGGGGATGGTACAGGAGGGTTATCTTGATCTGAGCCCTATGTTGTAACATATTCTATAACTATAACTGTCTGGTGCTGAGTAGGGAACGGGGGGAATGGATCCCTATAGTAGCCCCTACATAATCCCCAATGATAGTCTCCATATTCCATTCCCCCATTCCTTACTAAGAACCAGACAGATAAACCCCAAACCCTAAACCCTACTTGGAGGGGCAGGGGACTTAGTAAGTAGGTTATACGTAGAGTTATAAGTACCCTAAATGGAGTTACCCCAATTATAACCCTACTTATAAACAGCTTAACTTACTAAGTGCCCTGCCCCTCCAAGTAAATCATAACTCAGAACCTACCTACTACGAGCTACAGCAGCCCGTCAGTACCTCTCAACAACGAAGCCCGGCCTTGTTCGCATTGGAACCTTTGGATACCTCGGAAGGGTTTAGGGGTTTAGGGTTTAGGGTTTAGGGTTTAGGGTTTAGGGTTTAGGGTTTAGGGTTTAGGGTTTAGGGTTTAGGGTTTAGGGTTTAGAGGATATTGTTTAAGGCTTAGGGTCTAGTTTAGGGCTTATGGTTTAGGGTCTAGGCGGGTTGAACAAGGGTAGGCGAGGACTCCTGAGGCTGACGATGGTCTAAGCTTTAGGGCTAAGGGCGTAAGGCCTCGGATTTACAGCAGGATTTACGGTTTTTAGGGTTAGCCCGATGTCAGTGCACGACAGATTTGAACCCTTGACAGGGCCGCCCCCAAGAGCGAGCACAATCGTAGGACGCCAACACCAGCAACACTGACAGCAGACTATAAAACACCAAGCTCCGCTCCCAAAAAGGATTCCTCGTAATTTAGTGGGCGGAATATCGATAAATACTGCACGGAAGTCCGGCCTTTCTTCTGCGACGCGTCACCCTTTGGCGGACCCACGATGCGAAGCAGAATGCCGCCAGCGTTCAACCAAACTTTCATCACTCCGGGTTGCGCACAGAAGGTGTCCGAAACCCGACGCGAGATTCGAGCGAGAGCCTCTGACATGTTCGTTCGTTCCCGGGTATTACCCGATGTCCGCTCCTCGGCGAGACTCGTGAGTCAGAGCCGCTGCCAATTGGCTGAGGGACGCAACCGACTGCATCACGACCACCGTCACCCTGAAGATCGAACCCTATACCCTGAAGCCTAAAGCCTTAAGCCTTAACCCCAAGCCCTGAACCCTTCACCCCCAAACCCTGAACCCCAAACCCCAACCTCTTGAACCCTAAACCCTGAAGAGTAAAGCCTTAAGCTTAACCCCAAGCCCTGAACCCTTCACCCCCCAAACCCTGAACCCCAAACCCCAACCCCTAAACCCTAAACCCTAATCCCCAAACCCTAAGCCTTAATTCTTTAGCCCTAATCCCTAAATCCTAAACCCTAATTCTTAAACCCCAACCCCCTGAACCCTAAAGCAGAACCTTCGCCCCTGAACACGGAGCCTCGATCCCCGAACACCCGGGCCCCAAACCCTCCGGTCAAGGCTTTGGGTTTAGAGCTGATGGTTTAGGGTTTAGGGTTTTAGAGGTTTAGGGGTTTAGGGTTTAGGGTTTTAGGGGTTTAGGGTTTAGGGATTTAGGGATTCGGGTTTTAGGGTTTTAGGGTTCAGCTCAGGGTTTATAGGGTTTGGGCTTTCGGCATAGGCATGAACCAGTAACCTGAGCCCGACTGTCCGGGTTTAGGGTTTAGGATTTGGGCTTTAAGGTTTGGAGGGTTTGGGATGTTGAGATCTAAGCGACTAGACAAATTTCAGCTCAGCATCGCGGGACGCAGTTCTCGTAGACTTCCCCACACGCACGGATGACATCTTGCCTGCAGCAGATGGCTTCTACCAACGCCTTTTTCTGCCCACAGCGCAAACACGTCCACAATAAAAACTCCACGAATCCAAACCTCAATGTGTCAATGCCCAACACCCTATAACACCCTGGACAGAGCGCCGCACGCCAACACCCAAGATGCCCTTGCTTCTTCGGAGACTGTCGAAGACGGATTTCATGTGATTCATCTTGCTTTGGGCTTTTCACGGTTTAGGCGGTTCAGGGTTGATGATTTCGTGCGAAGGAATTATGAATTACGGGTTGGGGTTTCAGGTATAGGGGCTTAGGGCTTAGGAGTTCCGGACCTTGCTAGGAACTGTCGACAACAGAGTTCACAGTCGGGAGGGGGCGGTGGCGTGCGGCGGAGGATTGGGGAAGCCATCCGTCTGGTCCTTGGTAGGGAATGGGGGAATGGATTATGAAGACTATTCCTGGGGATAATATAGGGACCACTATAGGGATCCATACCCCCATTCCCTAACTCCTGGATCCCTTGAAGAGACCCTAAATCCCTATAGGGATCCATTCCCCCATTCCCTACAAAAGGGGCCCGGTGGTCGTTGCTTGGAGGATCAGGGGACCTAGTAAGTTAGATTATAAGTACCTTACTTGGGGTTATAAGTAGTTATCTAGGCGGGGCTTTTAAAGCCCTTGAAAAATATTAGTAGGTAAGATCCTCTTAAGCCCAATAAGAGAAAATATAAAATGTCCCAAAGCCCAACCTAGTTATAAGTATAGTTACCTCCATTGTTACCCTAGTTACTAAGTCCCATGATCCTTCAAGTGGAGCATGCAGGATGCAACCGAAGTCTACGGCTCTCCTCGCTCTGATCTCTCGAGACCCCTGTGCCACTCAAAAGCCAGAAACCTTAAGAACCGTTTAGGGTTTAGGGTTTGGCGATGTTCAGGGTTAACTCTTATGAAGAACCTAGAAGGAAAAGCATACCTCTATAGAATTCCTATGGAAGCCCTGTAAACAGCCCAAAAGTGACCCCATTTATGAACCTTCAGGTAACCAAACCCAGTAAAAGCTACAAGAAGGTCTCCGCACCTGTCATATCCTAAACCCTGACTTACGCCCTAAACCCTAAAACAGCTACAAGAAGGTCTCCACACCTGTCATATCCTAAACCCTAACTTAGGCCCTAAACCCTAAAAAGCTACAAGAAGGTCTCCGCACCTGTCATATCAGTCTCCACGATTTCCACTGTGTCTTGGTGGATTCCTTGGCACCGTGTCTTCGGCGCGGGGTTTAGAGTTCAAGGGTTTAGGGGCCTAGGGCTTCGATCTTTGGGGGGTTAAGGGTTTGAGGGTTTAGGGTTTAGAGTTCAAGGGGTTGGGGGCCTAGGGCCTTGATCTTTGGGGATTTGAGGGTTTGAGGGTGTTTAGGGGTTTAGGATGTAGGGTTCAGGGTTTAGAGTTCAAGGGTTTGGGGGCTTAGGGCCTCGATCTTTGGGGATTTACGGGTTTGAGGGTGCTTAGGGGTTTAGGATGTAGGGTTCAGGGTTTAGGGTTTAGAGTCTTTGGGGATTTAAACGTTTGAGGGGTTTAGGGGTTCAGGGTTTAGGGCTTAGACTTCTAGGGTTTGGGGGCTTAGATCTTTGCGGCGGGTTGAGGTTTAAAGAAACAGAGTCGGGCTTAGGCTCCAGTTTGCTGGGCTTAGGGTAGAGGCTCAGAGTGTAGAGTTGCGGGGGAGGCTTGGGGGCAGGTGAACCAGTGGCAGGGTGGAACCCCTGACGTGTCCAAAAACTCACGACTCACGACCCACGACCTAATCCTAAACCCTTATCCTCAAAGCTTGGAAGCTTGACGGCCCAATGCCAGTCTCAAATTAAAGCGTCGGGTTGAATATTGTTTCTGCACTTAAAGCGTTGGGTTTGATATTGCTTCAGCCATCCAGAAAATTTGCAACCGTGTTCGCTCTACGTTGGCCGAGCCCGCATTTTCAATAGCCCCTGCAGCTTTATATGCCCTAGACCCAAGAGTAACCTAGGAATAAAAAGGGTGCCCTTTTTGGTTTAAAGAGGCTTATAAGGGAACCTGTAACCTAAAAAAAGGGGTAAGAGCCTGTTCTAAGTCCTAATTCCTTCGCAACCACGAAACACGCGAGGCTTGGCGTCTAGCGGAACTTGGGACTATGTCTGGGCTCCCGCAGGGTTGCAGAACTACGGTTGATGAGATAAATCCTGCATCACGTTAAGAACCCTAAACTATGGGAATACTGGTATATTCCTTGTTATGGGTAATGCCTGGTCATGCAGGAAAAATCATCAACGGTATCAGGCTCAAGGAATCTATATATATATATATATATATATGTGTGTGTATGTATATATGTATGTATGTATATATATATATATACGAATGATCGAGTAGTCTTGCAGACGAAGGAGCCCCCGAAGGAAACGGAGTGCTTCTGATCTGTGCAGGTAGGGCAACGCCAAGGGTTGACATGCGGGTACTATAGGGGCCTTAACAATTCGAAGAGGGTTCCGTGAAAAAGTTCCTTTAAAGGGGTCTATAAGCGATCTATAGTGGGTTCCATAGTATAGGGGCCTTCATAAGTAGACTAGGGCTTTGGGGCCCACTATACTATGCTGAAAGAAGGAAGCCCCAAAATGGTATTGGTAATTATTGAGGCCCGTATAGCACGTGTCAAAATTAGGGTCCATTCTGGGGTACCCTAGATATTAGGTTCTTGGGTGCGGTATGATAATAAGGACCCAAGAAGGGACCCCATGCTCCTCGGTGCATTCACATACAGGTGTAGATATGCAGCATCTGCTTATTGTGCTGTTACTGCCGCTGCTGCTCCTCCTCGGTTTAGCGTTGAGGGTTTAGGCTTGGGGTCAAGTGCTAACAAAGCGGCATGAGCAATGGGACGAGGTGGGAGCAGTTTCAATAGTTCGGGTTCCGGATTTAGGATCGCTGTTGCAACCATCTGTCCGAACAGACAATGGGTGCCTTGGTGCTCATTATTCCCCGTCCAGAAATCCAGAAACAAGCTTTCCGATTACATGCAAAGGTTGGAAACGTTATGCGAAGCTCATGGAGTTCAAGGTCGTTACATGAAATGCCAGAGCCAAACCGCCAAGGATTCTACAACACACCCAAAGACACGAAAGAAATGTAGCTTCCAAAAATTCCCACCTCCGGTTGGGGCAAATACCCTTTCTGGTCCTCCTGCGCTTGAGCCAAACCCCAAACCTACACCCGAAACCTTCAAACCCTGAACCTACACTTCCTGCGGAACTACCTTAAATCCTAAACCCTAAACCCCTAAACCCTAAACCCCTAAACCCTAAACCGCAACCCCCAGTCCCAGAACTTGCCGGCTGGCCTGTCTTTTCCGGAATTGGGAGCATAGCTACCTCAGACTTCTCCTTAAGGCGTGCGCGCTCCTCCCAGTCCTCCGGTGGTGGGAACAGTTTGGAGGAGTTTCAAACAATTTGGAGGCAGGTCCAGAAAGCCCTGCACCCACTGAGTCGTAATGTTGTTGAAAGGCAATAGTAGCAGCAGCAGTAGGAGTAGGAGTAGGAGTAGGAGTAGGAGTAGGAGTAGGAGTAGGAGTAGGAGTAGGAGTAGGAGTAGGAGGAGTAGGAGTAGGAGTAGGAGTAGGAGGAGGAGGAGTAGGAGTAGGAGTAGGAGTAGGAGTAGGAATAGGGGTAGGGGTAGGGGTAGGGGTAGGGGTAGGGGTAGGGGTAGGGGTAGGGGTAGGGGTAGGGGTAGGGGTAGGGGTAGGGGTAGGGGTAGGGGTAGGAGTAGGAGTAGGAGTAGGAGTAGGAGTAGGAGTAGGAGTAGTAGTAGTAGTAGTAGTAGTAGTAGTAGTAGTAGTAGTAGTAGTAGAAGTAGTAGTAGTAGTAGTAGTAGTAGTAGTAGTAGTAGTAGTAGTAGTAAGTAGTAGTCATCGTCATGACGTTATCCCTACACCCTATAACCTTGAACTCCAAGACCAAAAAGCCCCAAAACCGCGCAACCCCTGAACCAAGGAACCCCGTACCAGAAAGGCGAGAAAGGCTAAACCCACAAACCCTAAAGCCCTAAAGCCTAAACCCTAAAACCCTAAAGCCCTAAGCCCTCAACCCTAAAGCCCTAAAGCCCTAAAACCCTAAAGCCCTTTGCTGCAGGCTTGCTTGCAAGGACGCCTGGTAGTTTGCCGCTCTTCCGCCAGTTAGCCCTAACCCCCGAAGCCCTAAACCCAGCCCTGTCCTTGCTCATGGTCCGCCCAATGGGTCTGCCAGCGCGGCCACCCATCTCGCCGTCGGAGGCCTGGGGTGATTCCCAGAGATCCCAATACCCCTTAATTAAGGAATAGACCTTAAATTATAAGGGGCTTGATATTATGATGTCAGGTATAATTATAGTCCTTAATTAAGGAGTATTGGGATCTCAAGGTTGATGCTCGTTGAGAATCCTGCACATAAACCCAGCAATACGTAGAATAATGGCCTCTTTATAGGATTTGGGCCATTATTTTACAGACTTTTCGGGGTTTAGGTAAGAGTTCCACAAGCTTAGGCTTTAGGACTTTCTCTAGGGTCTCGCTTTAGGGGCTTAATTAGGGTTCAGAGTTTAGTTTAGGGCTTTGCGGCTGTAGGATCTAGGGAGGTGTGGTGAGAAAGCGAAATGCTTTTGTGTAAGCTCGTCACTACGTGCGCTGATGGTGACAGGTAGCCCGAAAACACCACAATCCGGGCTGGAGTTATTTAGGATTCATGGTTTAGACGAGTGTAGAGCACATTCTACTCTGAGAATATGACGCTTTGTGTCTGGAGCCCCATTATGCGCCCTCATCAGCACCATAAGAGTTTAAGGATTTACAAGAATCTAGGGTTTAGGGTTTAGGGTGTTAGGAAGATCTCGCAGGAAGTTTGATGAAGGCAGCCCCGCTTTGAAGGTTTTGCAGACGACACCTCCATGGCCTCTGATAGGCTTGCAGCGGCAGTCCCAACCCTAAACCCTCCTGCTGCTCTTTAGGGGTTTAGGGTTTAGGATTTCGGCTTGATCCTGGTTGGACTCCGCCTCCTTGTGCAGATTGAATAAACACTATCAGCTTGTTCCGGCACTTTGGAAACGAGAGGGGAAAGCAATTCCACTAGGAGCCTGTCTGCATATATATATATATACATACTATAGTAAGTACAATATGACCTAATATGTAGTATATTACTTTAATTTCTTACAAGGTAATATGTTATATTGTAACATAAAGTAAGATTGAAGTGGTCTCCTTCTGCAGATTCCTGGGAATCTCGGCAACTTGTCTCTTCAACCCTGAGAAGGACTATCCAGTGGCCTACCGAACAACAGACTTGTCAAGTCCCATGGAGGGTTTAGGGGTTAGGGCTCGCAAGCATCTCGCATGTGTTGGGCTCGCAGCAAGTTCAGACTGCAGCCTTTACTTAGTATCCTCCACCCCTCCTTGAAACGCTGTGGCCTTCATGGGCCACAGCCTTAAACTAAAGCCTAAACCCGAAACCCTAAACACCCCTATGTAAACCCTCTACCTGCCTGAAGCACGGAGAAGCCTTTGCTGCCGGAACATATGGGCTCAACCAGTCGGTTACATTTGGGGCTATGAAAGATAAAAATCCTAAAACCCTAAGCCCGAAACACCACAAAAAACCTAAACCCTAAACCACAAAACACATCAAACTCCAAAAATCCAAAAACCTAAAACAGCCACAACCCGACAAACCAAAAAAACCTGCGATGGGGGCCCCGGCCGCTCGGGAAAGGTTCGGCTTGCCCTTGGCATCTGGGAAGTAGCGTCTCCTGCAAGGGTTTGGGGTTTAGGGGTTTAGGGGTTTAGGGGTTTAGGGTTTAGGGGTTTAGGGTTTTAGGGGTTTAGGGTTTGGGGGTTTGTGCGGCCTAGTAGAATCGAGTCCCTATAATAATTTCAAGGTTCGGGTGTATACAATACGAACCTACAATGCTACAAAGAGTAGGCTGTGGCATGTTATGGTAGTTTAAGCTTGAAATGTTTGGGGCTTAATGGGTTCAGGGTTTGTTTTTCGTTTAGGGTTCTTGAAGCGGGCACAACGGGATAAAGACTTAAGGGTTCAGCGCCTTGGCTTTATCTAAGGTGCTAGTAGGCATCTTTGAGAGGGGTAAGGTGTATATGCATATATATATATATATGTACATTTGTATTTATGTGTATGTGTATATGTATGTGTTCATTTATATCTATGTAAATACATTCATGTGTGTGTCCGTCCGTCCGTCCGTCCGTCCGTCCGTCTGTCTGTCTGTCTGTATGTATGTATGTATGTATGTAAAAATGTTCATATACATATCTACGCCTGTTAGGCATGCATGCATGCATGCATGCATGTATGTACATAACAAGCATGTATGCGAGCATGCATACATGCATGTATGTATGATTCAGCATAAATATACTTATACCTTTACATGTACACGTATCATGCTTACATGTATGTGTACACGTATATAGAAACGTCCATGTACATGTAAATGCACATGTAAATGTGCATGCAAATATACATGTACATGTACGTATTCACAAGGTGTTGCTAGGCTTTACTATGTAGGTTTTGGGACAGGGAATTTCTGAAAGCTGACAGCTGCTTGCTTGGAGTCCTTGCTTGCGTTTGAAAATACGGAAAGAAAGACAGAGTGGACGTATCGAACTTCCAGGGCTTACGCGCTTGAGACGGTGTTTTCTCACACGAGGCGCACCCATTCTGCACCTGTACACACCTTACCAACAAAACAAATCAACTTCATTAACAGGTTCTCCAAAGGTTGGAGGCATCTGGGTGCGTAGAAATGCACAGGCTCATGCTGTTTGGGGAAAATGCGGAAATGCCTCTTTTCGTCCCGTGACATCCTACAGGAGAGCCACGCGTCAGGGCTTAGGGTTTCGAATCGGCAAACACTGAAAACTTCAGAGTCAAAGTAGACATGTAGGTGAAGAACCCAAGAGTGGAAGGACGATCAAGAGCTCTCTCTATCGCAGCATGCACATGTGGGTATATTTGTATATATATATATATATATACACATACACAATATGTATATGTATACATGTATGTATTTATGTATGTAACTAGTACGCATGTGTGTACATATATGTATATACACATACATACATACATACATACATACATACATACATACACACACGTACATACATACATACATACATACATACATACATACATGCATGCATACATACATACATAAATTTTATATTATATATATATATACGTATATATGTGTAGATGTGTCGATGTCTTATGTCTATGCCCATGTCCACGTCCATGTCTATATGTCTTTGTGTGCAGAAAAACGTAAACATATATATATATATATATATACATACCCTGGGCCCAACGGAGCATCGGGGCTTGGTGGCCTTCTCAGGTTGGTGGGACCCCAGGCGCGGCACTAAGACGGGTATGTCCCCGTCGAGGAGCACCCACCTTCCTGCCACCACGCCCCCTCCATGGGGTGACAGTGCCATCTCCCTCCTTTTCTTCCTTTCACCTTTCCTTCCTGCTTGGATGCCTCGCCTCCCCACCTCTTCTTTGTCCTCCTGCCTCGAGCAGTTTTGTATCTTGCTGCCACTCGCGTTTGCTGTTGGTTGTTGCTTCGCAGCTCCGGTTGTCTCCTCTCCTCCCCCACTTTGCCGCTCTCCTATCACGTCCTTCTCCTTTCGACGCCTTCTACCTGCCTGAGCGCCTGTTGAGCGCCCGTGGCTTGGCTTCTTGCCAACCACTCCAGTTGCTTGTGTTGCCTCCTCACCTCCTCCCTCTCCCCTCTGTGTGGCCCCTCCGTCGCCTGACTCCTCCTTGCGCACATCTTCTTCCTAGTGCACAGCAGGGTGATGGGCGATTTTGGCTCGTTGTTATCGCAGCCGGCCCACCCCTTTGTTCTCTCCGCTCTTCCCTCCCTGTCGACTGCGCTCTGGTGTCGCGTCCTTCGGGCCTAATCCTCCCGCCCTCTCTAGCTTCGGTTTCTCATCCGTTGTGTCCTTGCCCACTCTCTTCTGCGTTCAACTCCTCTGAGAAGCGATGGGCGACGGTGGCTCGTCCCATTGAGCCGGCCCACTCCCGCCCTTGTTCTCTGCTTTCTTTGTCCGTGTCTTTCTGTCGGTTGGTTGTTTTTGCAACGGCAGGGGTTTTGGCTGTCTACCTCCTACTTGCCCTTCTTGAGGCCGCGCCTTGTGCGCTGTTGGCCTGTGCTGGCGTGTTTGTGCTGTGCTTTTGGCCCCCTCGTCCTCGGCATGGCCTTTGGCCATTACTCTTGTCTCTCACTGCTTCTCCGGGCCGCGCCTCCTCGCGATATGTGCCTGTCGTGCTGCGGCCCTCCTTTGTCCTCGGCGTGGCTCTTGGCCATAGGTGTCTTGTCCTTCCTCGGACCGTGCCTGCATTATTGGCCAGTCCTGCTGCATTCTTGCTTTGTCCTCGGCGTGGCTTTTGGCCTTTTCTCTTATCTCTCGTTGCCTGTTCGGGCCGCGCCTCTGTGCGCTATTGGCCTGTCGTGCTGCGTTCCTCTTTTGTCCTCGGCATTGCTTTTGGCAATCTTGTAGCTCTCTTCTCCTTCTTCGGGTTGCGAGTTTATGCGCATTATGCGCTATTGGCCTGTCCTGCTGCATTCCTCCCTTGTCCTCGAGCCTCGGCATGGCCTTTGGCCATTAC